ACAGAACTGAGAAGGAAGAGAAAAAAAGGGTTTGCGGAAATTCTCACGGGTCGACGACTTCCTCATGCCTCCATATAAATACAGCAACAGTCTGGTGAGTGATGATATGCATATGACGTGCTCAGTGGGACGTACGTGGAGATCACGTACTGATATGTTGATGTTTCTTTCTCTGCCAAGCTCTCCATTGTGTTGCATTAAATAACGAACGAGAAAGAAACCCAGGATGATTGAATAATCGTCGGAAATCGTAGGCGAGGATAAATCGACGCCTATATTAATGCCTTTTTGTATGTACATCAGCTCTAGCAAATCAATTGACATACCGTGGGCCTTCGTCTGTCCACTGAGTCCCGTATCATAGCACCACATATGTGCAGCGATAACGACACGGAGAAAAAAATTTCAATGACATTTGCGTGAAAGTCGGGCATAATTCGCGAGTTAAAATAAATTTCTCGTAAATATTACTCAACGTTTCAGTGGAAAACGAAGGCTAATGTAACAGGCTTTCAGGAAATCTTCATATCGTTCATCAGCGATACAGCAAGTATGACGAACTCGGTGAATATATTGACAATCTACTAAATTCATTTCGGATAATCATCCAATTGTAAATTTAATTATTGCAAAATACAGGAGTAGAGATTAATATTTTTACAGAAATTCTTCGAAGAAGAAGAAATATTTTGACAAAGACCACCGAAAGAAAAGTTTAACGTAAGCAGAGACAAAGTGCCTTGCCTATATAGTAACGATGACGTTTAATAATGACACATGATTGAAAAACCTTCAGCTTTATGGACAACTCTTATTACGGTATACGTTTTCATGCCAGCGCTATGGCATACTCGTTGTCCCCGTTAGTACACTTGTCCGGCAAAATTAATTAAGAGGTACTTTCATACGAACCTAGATTAAATACCACTCATAAAATCCTATTACATGAATTATTCCGGAACTATAGAAAGAGTCTTTCATATTTATTATTTTACCCCAGCCTTTGACATCTCGATTAAGGACTGCTATCACGTTTTGTTGTTACATAATAGAAAGATTACATGAAAAAAGGTACCGCCATTGGAAGTGGTAAAAAACGGATTTTGGGTTTGACCCAGTTCCGCCAGTTGATATCGAATTTTTTCCCTGAAATTTTCCACGTTAATTAAATTACTCCTAATATTGAACATCAGGTAAATGCCTTTTTGTGCATTTAATTTACTGATTGAGCTGCAGTAAACTGGAATAGAGGGTGATGAAAGAAAAAAAAAAACTTTGGGAGCTGTTGCTGCGCCAATGTGCCAAGCAGAGGGGATATCGTCATATCCCGGACGAACGTAGGAAACCTCCGAGTAAAGGTTTATATCTCCCTATTATTTTCATATGTACACAGACGAGCCACTCTTGTATCAACGCCTGAACGATTTTCACTAAGGTTAATTGAAAAAATATAATCGATACTGAGAATAGAGGTAAAAATAAAGGATAAATGACCATCGGGTGGGCACACCGACCTAGACCCACATACTTTTATATATTATCGTAATTTATCGTACATAAAATGTATGGTTGCTAGTCAATTAATAGACATCCTCCTGGTTCTGCCTGCATAACAATCAATGCAGTCGCACCGCCATCCGGTCAGTGTATATGAGTGTTACACTTCCCCGGAAGAGGTGGATTAAAAAAACTTTTTTTTTATAATAATATCGGAGAGTTGTGAATGCGAACGGAAGTACAAGTGTGCAAGGTGGGGATCGCAAAGAGCATGTGGATCACTCCTTTTTTTTTCATTCGAGGCGCATTTCTCGGGGGCGAGACAAACGTGTGCTCTTTGACGAACAAAAATTTTCATTAGTCTAGCTCTCATTTCTCCAAGCTTCATGATCTTATCCAGTTTTAGAATTCACTGTTCGATACAATATTGTTCAAAGTCTGAGATAGAATTTAATAATTTATAAAGATGTCTATAACCCATGCTTTCGCTGCAATCGACATATATGGTGTAATTAAGTCTCACAAGCGTGAACATTTATAACATTGCAGGTCAATAATTACTAGTGAATCTGCTAAGTATAACTCCGCAGAATGTGTTTCGTTAAATAAAAATGTAGATTATTCCGTGGTGCGTGTCAGGAAGCCAAATGAGTAACGCCACGGTGCATGGGACATGACCGCGAAGGATTTCGCATCGGATAACATCTCACGTACTGATATGAATTACCAAGAATTTATAATTTCACTCTGCATTTATAACTGATTTGTAAACAGAAGCCTACCGAAGGAATCATAAAAGCGTTTAGTCTTTCACATAAATTTTTCATTCTCTCTCCTTCATGATATGACAGTTAACATTTCTACGGAAGGTAGTAGTTAATACTGCAGTATTTCTAAAAATAGCCACCACTATGATTCCGTCCTGAAAACAACGAATTTTCTCTGGTATCAAGGATACCAGAGGAAAATCGATAGTGGAAATTCAAATTTAACCCCTAGCACTCTGCAGGCTCAAACCAAGTGTATTAGGATAACCATCGAGCATCTCCAAAGGGTAGGAGTGAAACCAGGAGATGCCCTTCCCCAATAATGCCTCGACTAACCATTTCGACCCAGTTGTTAATTGACTTGTGCATATAGGGCTGCGCTCTGATTGCCAGTAATGCACCCCGATAATTCACAAAATGAGATGCTAATGCTCATGATGCTGAAACGAAATGCGCTTATAAAAGTTTTGCTCTTTATTCATTGAAAAAATGCTGTTAAAGGCGTCCTGGATCGGAGAAACCGCAATATTTCTTAGCATTCAATTCACCCCAAATAATGTGAAATAATACGAAACTCTTTACAAAGCATTTTCAATGGAAACCTTCAGTTTCCTGAAATACCAGAACAACGGTGGTAAAAAATTGACAATTCGTACACGAATGAAATATCGCGTGGAGCCTTAGTGGTTTCCTCTGTGAGGTGATAAGAATCCATATGCAGGAAAAGCAGCAGCTTTATTTGCAGCATTTGTTGCAGCTGCTATTCAAGAATTGCCCGAAATGCTATAATTCTATCGAGTGCAGAATGTTCAACACAGAGATCTACATTTTCTTTATAATATTGAGAGTTCTGCTTACTAATTCTATAGGAAATTCAATGAGAAAGAAAACTTGAAACCAAAAGCTATATTGCCAATACCACGATGACTCAATCATATTTTTCCTTGTGTTCCAGTTAAATTCGCGAGATTACCTCACTGCATTTGAAATACTATCATCTGGCTGATTGGTGTAATTAAAAATAATGGAATCGTCGAAGCATGATGAGCCATTGAGACTGATGCGCAAAGGTTTATTTACCTTATCCCCGTGGAAATTCCTGAGGCGAATGCCTCGTCAAGGATTAAAAAATGAGGTGAGTAAGAGATCCCTTGCACTACTAACACCTTTTCTCAATCTCCTCAAGATTTAAAAAAATTTACTACATCTCTAACCCTGCCACAACACATGCCACACGACCTTCCTCAATATTACTATTCCACACTCTCCCAATCCCATTTAATCAAACTTTAAAACAATTCGACATAACTCTTACCGTTGGTATTCAATAAAAAATGTGATAGCATTATCGTAACAACAGAGGAGATAAATACCTAGTACTTGAATGCCAAGTATGAAAGGCGTGTTGTCCAGGGGCAAATGAAAACAAACTCACAAACTTCACTGTCACTGAATCCAATCCTTGAAAGTTGTTACAAATACTTGAATCACAGGTCGATTGTCCATAAACTGTCACCACGGAATTGTTATTTAGTTCATAAAGATCGTAAGAAAGAGTTAGTTGGAGTAAAGTTCGCGCCACAATTAAACTGCAAATTTTCCATGTGCACAGCGGCGCGGCTGTTCTCCTTCTGTCAGTCAGCTGATACTTCCATTCTGTAACGTACAAACGCGCACCCCACCACACACCTATACACACACATACACACATTGGAAACAGATGCCAAGCAGGGGGGATTTTGTCGTAGCATTCTATACATGGCAATACATTCTATATCATACCCACTGGATTACCTAGTCTGATTCATCTTAGATACATTTTTTCGCCATCTCCATGGCATCTCAAATATATCACACACTCATCGACATGTACATATACCCAATTGTTCGACGTATAAACGTCAAACAAGGGGAATTTGACCATTACGTGCAGCAACATACATTCTATATGATTCATCTTGGATATATTTTTTCGCCTCTTCCCTAGTATTTCAAATTTCTATCTCACCATATACTGTTTTGTAATTTTTCTTGAATTATTATTATCACTCTTTGGTGATCTTTTTTTTATTTCAATTATTTTATATCATTTGTGTATGGATTCATTTATGTAGAGAAGATTGTTATATTGAATTTTTCACGGATCAACGGATTTTGTCTGTGTATTCACGACATAGGAGATCTAAAAATGGCCCACAGACCATAAATGGACTCCAGGGGACATGTCCCCTCGGCCCTCGATACTCTGCATAATTTAATTTTTTTTACAGCCTCAATTTCTGCGAAAACAGCATATTTTTTTTCTCTCACATACACCTCAAGCAAAAAAAACAGAATTTTATGTATTAAACACTATTAAAATATTTTTGGCTTTATCCAATTATTCGATGCCATCCGTTCAATTTCTACCAATTCAATAAAATATAAATTTTCCCCTCAATAATTCCCCCTCAATAATTCCCCCTCAAAACTCCTTATCATAATTTTTCTCGGAATATTTTTTGATTAATTGAACACGACATCTGGTCAGTTTCTCTGAACAAAACGTACATTTTTTCTATGGTATTGAATGATTTATTTAATTTCTTTTTCTATAATCTCTTCCACAATTTCTTGGCCAATTGAACAGTTGTCGATAGATTACGAGTGGAAAGAGAGAGCGGTAGCCGTTGGATAGAAATGTTTTGAAATTGCTGGTATTATGGAATATAGGTCAGTTTGTTGCAGAACGATGAATCATTCAGACATATTGGTAATACTCAGTGAAAAAGATATCAGTTATCAGTGAAACTGAATTCAACAAAAAGAAATTGATTTTGCGATTATAACGAATAGAACGTGTTTAAACACCTGCCTGAGTTTAGATCCTACTGATTTATCAATTTATTCAAGTCCAAGACAGATATCTATTGTAATAGTGACAATGAGAGACATGATTATTGTTAAATAAGTGGAAAATTGTTTCCATTGTCAGCCCAGTCGGTTTTGCGCTATTTTATGAGTTGCATGGTCGTGGGATTTTCATTGTTTAATTCCATAACTAGATGAGAATGATGGAAAAAACGGTCGAGGATGTTTCACTGCATCCGTGAAGCAATTGGTGTTACCATGAAAGTATATTCAGTAAGAGTCATTAATCTCATTAACGATTTGCGCTAGAGGAGATAAATAATCGGCCATGGAGTAGTTATCGACAGTTGTCAATGTTTCCACAGTAGAAAATATCTTTTAATCCTCATGAACCCACTCTTCATGAATGGCTTTCAGATTTAAAAGACAGATGGCAGTTGCAACCGTTATCATAAGAAATACTCCCTGAAATAATTTAAACTAGTTCCAAACATGATAAAAATAGAATAAAATAATAATGTACTTGCTTAATTACACCTGTCACTTATTAGCATGTCATCGTTATTAATTGGCGCCTAATGGAGTATCGAGTGCGGAATTCCTGATTTTTTTCACGTTCTACTTGACCGCAAGTGGAATTTTAACGTTACTTCCAGGACGACGTGGTCATTTTGCTGCAGAACCAGATTCATTTTTCTCGTTATTAATCCAGCAATCAACGGGGAATCGACTTGTCTGCTCACCTGACAGTAGGTCGATCGTCAGTTTATCGTTGGTGAGTGAATTTCTTAACTGAGATCTGCCAAAAAAAAAAATCCATCCCAACAGTCCCTATATTATTTTTCTATAGTGATTTTCAAGTTTTCGAGTTTGGGAAGTATGTAAAATCAATTTCCACGGGGCCTGAGTCCCGGACGTGATCGAGAACTTCCAAGCCTTGGATCAGGGCATGATGAGCCTCGTCCCCGGCGTCGAAGTCTACCTCATTCTCAATACGTAATTATTGACTTTTTATTCATCATGGTACACCTGATAAACGAATCCGCATTAAATGCGCATACAGAATCATTCGACCATTTACCAACTCGTTTTCATCTGCAGTTATAAACACTTAATCCATAAATGTATGCGAATGATGAGGACATCAATAAACATTGGTAACGAGGTCCTGAGCATCCATTTGCACTGGGACCATTTACAGGACCCGTCCAATAAATATTTCGAAGAAGACGTTACAGTTTTAGCAGCTTCTCGAGTGGTAGCATAGTGGTATCGATGATTATCTATTGAATGCCATACAAAAAGATGATTTTCACCGTTTAACACTAGTGGAATTTTCCCATTAATTCTTAATCGCAGGTTCAAGAGTAACTGGAAACTAGGCTGACTTGTCCCAGTAGTTTCACTTCCATCTGTGCATACACGCGGGCAAATTTGAATATCTAATTAATAGTGATAGCCATCAGATATGAGTTATATTCCATTATTGGAATGGAAAGAAAGAGTATTTTTGGGGAAATAGACCGGTACGAATGAATAACCCAATCGAATAAGGTAAAAAAATATAGAGACACCGTTTTGATAAGATGTGCACTCAACTTATCGCTTTATTCCTTGAAAAAATAGCATGGACATGGACATAGAAATGTAAAGGAAGCACAAAGAATGATGGAGCTAGTGTGATAACGTAATGAACCGGCTGAGGTATTAGGGCCTGCTGATGGTACGAGGATATGAAAAAGAGTTAATAATGAAAAATAAAGGAAAGATTTGTAGGAAAAAGGCGAGCAGGTGATGCCCGCATCTCAGGTGGAGGAAGTGCAAAGACTCAAGGGGGTGGGCGAGGAACGCACTAACCAACTCAACCTCATCGTCAATTCCTTTTCCCTTCACTCGACGCGCCTGTCCCATCATTTCTTACTTCTCTCATTTTTAATTTCAATTTTTTATCCTTATCCTTTATCCACACGTGTGGCTTTTCTCATCCCTCCCATACCTTTTCCCGGAGGGCGAGTTGCAACATTACCTTATGAAGTCTCTGCATCGATGATTCGTTTGAGGCCAAAGGATGAGTAAAAAAGGAAGGACAGGAGGGAGATAGGAAGCCTCGTCTGAACCTTTTTGCCGACAACATCAAAAGGTATTTATAACCCCGTCGATAACCCCGATGCGTGCAGATCTCTCAGATTACAAGAAACCACGATGCAAATTGATCAATGATGACAATGCAGTTATTCATACCTGCGGAGCTCGCCACGTTGTGGAATTTACCCATGGAAGCCCAAGAAATAGTATGAAAATTTTAATTTGTTGTGGTATTTTTTAACACTTGATGTTTGAATTTTTCGTTGTTACCGTTAGCACATATTCGCTCATTTCTATTGTTGCGCACGCGTGGTACCTGAAGAAATATGTGAAGGGGGGTCCTCAAGCATGAAGATATTGAGATACTAGGGGAGCTTTGTACGGGATTTGATCAAATATCCAAATGAATAGGTGGATGAGAGACGTGAGAGAGACACAATATGACGCTGGAGTAATGCAATGCGCACAGTTGGGGCACTGCGACGCAATTGTGTTCGGGGGATCAGGACGAAAGCCGTCTTACACTGTGCAAAACTTATCCACATGAGGGAAAGAAAAATCCCTTGTCTCCTACAGTCCCCTTCGCCCCATAATTTTTTTCTTTTTTTCACTTTTTCCTCCCGGCCCATTTCCATTGGGATTTTGATTGTTTTTGGGGGGGTTTTTCTTTTCCTTGAATTGGTTGGGTTTTCTTGGCTTGTTTTGTTTCGGGGTTAACCGGGGGCCATTTGAATTATTAAAAAAAAGAGGGTTATAAAAATTGATCAGCGTAGAGAACACCCTTATGCACCCATTTAATTGTAATTCACCTCACTTGTGCGAGTAATTATTCTGAAATTCTGTATTTAAAAAATGTAATGGTTCAACAATTCATAAACGAAAAATGCAATTTAGACAATTGTCCAGGTGCCACTGCTTATTATTAATAATCATGCTAAACAGAAAGAAACGTAAAACGTCTGGATGAGGGGGAAATATTTTTTCAACGATGCATCGAACTCAGGAGCGAGTATTCAATACCCCGAAAACATAATATTGCTCCCATCTTTACAGGCTCGTTCGGTCTTTTATGCGGTTTCTACCGGTGAAATCATTACGTGTTCACCAACTGTTACTTGTTGGAGATTTCGTGCAGTCCCGTTTATCATCACGCGAAGCTCTTGAAAAAGAAGAAGAGGAGGTAAATAAAATCAAGAAAATGGCAGTTAGCCAAAGGCGGTGAACACCAAGTTGAATAAAACTAAATAAACAAGTAAATGAGTGAAGAGGATTATTACATTCTCCTACTTTTTTTACCTTCTGTATACCCCATAATATTCACTCTAATAGCATGAGGTGAGTAAATCTAGGCAATTTATATTGTGTACAGTTGAGCTAAACGTTTACAATTGTAAACCTACTGAACGATCAGGTAAATCGTTATAGATTTGAATTCATTTTCCGTATGAAATCATAAACTGAGGACACAACAAATAGCGTACGAGAGAATAAAGGAGAAAAGCCCCCAACTCCCCTGGGGATTTATTTTACACAGGTGCGGGGTAGCCGCACTAATTGTTAAGATTTTAATTCCCACGTGAATCCCCTCACCCCAACAACGAAAAAAAAATACGCCAGTATATGTATGCCACTTTGACATTGTAGATTGCCGTGAAGTTCTTTCTTCTATTGCCATTCGTTTTTCTTTATCTTC